TTAAAGTACAAAGATAGAAAGGCCACAGAGATTTTTGAGAGAAGATAAGTTAAATTTTAATTTTATTTTTTTAATAACACATTGACAATTATGAAAACGTATTATCCACAATGCAATCTTGATGAACCGTTAGTTATTACATAAGATAATAACCGTTTGTAAAGCTCAATCGAGTGGGGTGATATTGATAGTGTGCACCTTACTTCTAAATTTTTTTTTTTCAAATAAGTAAGGAGGTGATTTATTCGTCAAAATCTTAGAAAATAAGCAGAGTATATGTATCTTCGATTTTGCATATTTTGCCATTCTACCATTTGGAGAGTGTGACGTATACGCCCAAATTTTCTTACACCGAATATCAGCCTCAAGTAGCAGTTTTGTAATTTCTGAATAGGAAACATATCAATGCGATTTAAGAAGGGTCAAAGATAACATCACTGAAATGTAGTTGTGATAACACAAATTACTCACACAACAATAAATTTGTTTTCTCATTTAAATAATCCCTGTTTTGGTAAATAATCTTTAAAAGAAAGTCATCTTTTTGAAGGCATTTAGATATGTGAAAAGATAACCGCAATTCATTGTCCCACAGTGGACCAAATTTTTTGCAATGCCATTATACTGAATTACTTTGTCATATATAATAACTGATTATTTAAATGTAAATGTAAATAACTGTTGCGTGCACATTATTTTTTTTTTTTAATTTAACCAAACCTAATTTCTTTTTACTTATTTTAAATTGGCTCACCGTGTGCATTGATGAAAGTTTTTATCTCTTTTCCTTGGTAACGCTTGTTTTTCGTATCCAGCAGAGTTTGGGCGTCTTTCTTTGTGATACCATTTGCTGATCAAATCCGGATGACCGTATCCATACAACCCAGCATGCAAGCAGAAATAAAAATCTCAAGGTAAGGGATTAAAACTCTCCGTTTCATAAAGTCCATTTATCTCCTTAAAGACTCCTTTTGAGAACAGGAATTTTTGTTTTTCTTAAGTGCTTCTCCGAAACATTCTGAATATAATACAAATGGTGATTAACAGATAAAATGATGAATAAATTTGTGTGTCATCGGAATAATAGTGACTTAGACATGAAACACATGACATCCCTATGGAACGTCTTTATTGAGATATAAAAAAGAAGATAATTTACGGATTTACAGAAAAACCTATGTATTGTAAAACTGCGGGTAGTCTGAACAGTAAGTTTACCTTCATCTAGAGGTTTAAAAAAATCGTTGGTAATTTTTAAAATGGCATTTGTTCAACTGAGTCCAGCTTTAAAACCTAATTAATTCACCGGTTTAATAGAGTTTTTGTTTAATTACTTTTTCAAAGATTTTAGGGAATGTTGGGAGAATACTAATAGGTATGATATTATTAAAATTCGTAGTATTTGGTATTTTAGGCAGAGAAATAACTAAGGATTTTTTCCATTGATCAGGAAATAAAGATTTTTGTAAGCAAAAATGTATTGTATGTGTGAGTTGCGATAATATATGGGGAACACAAGTTTAATTGACGAGATATTGATCGGATTCAGTTTTAATGTTATTTATTATATCTAATATTTATAATAATTTTATATTTTGTTTGTTTATATTTTAAACACAAGATAACTCTTGCGGTAACAAATAACTACTTGCATCTAACCAAATCCAACAATTTTAATGCTCTTCACGGCTCCTTCTGAGTTTCTTGATTTAGTTTACTAAAATAGTAAGCTTTTTTTTTCACGCTTTAGTGCCATGTTCACCGTATTACGCAACTCTTTATAACAATTCCAATATGCCGGGTTGTTATTCTTTTTAAATTTAGCTAAATATTTATCGCGTAGTTTTATCATTCCCTTAAGGGTGCGCGTTAATCATGGCGCATAATTTTTAGTCGCTCGGATTTTTTTTTAAATGGTGTATGTGAATCGAAAAGCATTAAAATATTGTTACTCAAAAATTCCACTTTATCTTAGGTATTTTCAAATCAAAATCAGATTTAAGACTCTCATAATTAAGTTTTTTACAGTTTCTGAGTGTCTTAAACGAAGCTGTTGTTCTATTGATCTTAATATTCAGTATACAAAAAACAATATCATGGCCGCTCAGACTATAAACATTTATTACTCCCTTATCTATGACAAAATTAGAATAAGTAGATACAATATGGTCTAAAAGTGTAGCCGTAGGGAGCTGAGCTGTTAAAGAACTTGACCTTAGTATTTTAGTGACCAAGTAGCAGTATATAAATTTCATAGCTCATTCTCCAAGTGATCAAAGAAACTAATATAATCAAAATTAGTACAACGATGCACGATAAAAATTCTCAAGTTAGTATTTTGTAATTTAATATTCAATGAAATAAACTAGAGGGAACTACTTTTATTTCTACGAAATTGAAAACAGGCAGAAGATTTTAGGAAAATAGACAATAAACTTAAAGGGAATATTGATGAAATTTGATTTTTTTCAATTGTACAGAGAGACAGATCTTTAATTTGGTTTGAGTTAAAGTTATTGAATTAATTGTAAAGGAAAGGTTGTTAGCATACTTGGAAAGGTACAGATTACTGAGCTAATTGTCACTTTGGTTTTAGACAGGAATGTCTGGTGCATATGCGCTACAGTGCTGCAAAGTTCCCAAAAAATTAAGAAATTGCAAAAAAAATCATAATTAATTAGTCTAACTACAATATTTTATTTTATCGACTATAAAATTTATAATATAATAATGATAAAAAAACTGCCGTGGAAATGTCGCCGAAGGCATAGGTAAGATCGATCAGTGGAATAATCAACCTACAGTCTCGGTGTCGATGTTGTCGAGTTGTCCTTTAGCTGGGCCACACAGACATGCTCTCAGCGCTCTTTCGAATACCCGCGCAGCACACGTCAACCACCGCGATGGTCTAAGCCAAGACCGTGATTTAAATAGAAAATACTGCGTAGAGTGCTGAACATAGAAACAATAATAATAGAGAGCGTGTGCTTCTGTTTTTGTGTATTTCTGTCAATTTTTTTTTTTAATATTTACCAGATATTACCATTAAAAAACTGGTGTAAGTAGAGGAAAAAGTCATACACGAAAATTTAGTAAAGACATTTATTCAAAAAATTAATGAATTTGTAGATGTAACAAAAAGAATGCTATTTGCACAACTACTGCATTTCTGAGTCGGTTGTTGAAAATGCTCCATGTTGTTTTCCCTTTTTGGTGACGATAAAGCTTTGACGGAAATAGGGGTTATCGATGTAGAGCATTCAGGTTGGAAAATAAAAAGACATAAAAAACAACCAATCAATATTACGTGTCAATTAGATTCTGCTTATTGGAACACAGAGGATACAAGGACATGATGAAAATGTGCTAAAGAATAGAATATAATTTTATCAAAAGTTATTAATTGCATTCAATTTTGCGGAGCGTTTGAATTTGCTCTCTGGGGACACGTTGAGAATGAAACTTCACACACACTAATTTTTATCTCAATATTTTTACTTTACCTCATTTTTGTGAATATCAGCGAAATTTTAAATCACTGATCAGGCCCGGAAATGTTGATGTCGCTCTCATTAGTAATGTCTGTTCGATTTAACATTTTTATTTTGCTTCCACGCAAAGGTACTTAAAGAAAAACATTGAAAATTCTTATTCCCTGATATATAGATTGTAATTTAATTGGGTGGAATATTAAAAAAAAAACAAATTTTGAAACTCTTAAAACCTAAATCATATGTATAATCGCGAGACTGACTGACTTGCCTGCTTTTTTCTTGGATTAGGACTTTTAAATTTGCCGTTGTTCTGTTTCGCTTCTCACAGTTGCACTTAAACTCAACTTTTCATCATTCACTTAATAGCAAATGATATTAAACATAACAATTTTCGAACTCGCATGGAATACTTGCCCCTGTTTGAACTTGTCGCATTCTATGTTAATGTAAATATAAATTTTCATATTTGGGTGTATTATACGCCATTTTGGCGCACTTGCACATTTCTGTCATTAATACCTCATTAAACTAAACCAATATACTTTATTTTATCACCTAATATACAAACAAAAAATTCAAAATGATATTAACTATCTGCATGACACTCTTTCTGACCGAACGGACTCTGGGACTAGACTAGACACTTCACTTTATAATAAACTCGAGCTAGAAACAAATAGCCTTACGTCAAATCTAAAAATATTGTTAAGAAAGCTGTGACAGATATCCATTGTCTCTGTAGCCGTACGTGTTTCTCAGTCAAGTTGTCAGTATTTGGAATTGTTGTTGTTTTGGTTGTTTTGGACTAAGATTATATCAGGTATGTTATGGACGACGGTCTCATCATCATCAGTAAAGTCTAAAATTGTTATTTTCTAGCATTAAGCCTGTAATTATAGCATGGGATTCTTTCTTTTTGTAAAAGCTGTAGCTTTAATGTTATCTCTTGGTGTAAGATTTTTGCTACAGCATTGTGCCTTTCCTTATACTCTGTCGAAGCAAATATTTGGCAATTACCTGTAATGTGCTGGATGCTTTCTGATGTTTTACATTAAAATCTGCATTTGTCATCTCTACCTGGTGCTAAATTACTAGTGAGAAACTTTCTGTTTCGGGAAACATCTATCCAGAGACTGCCTAGTAGTTCGACGCTGTTTTGTCGACATATTCCTGCGTAATCTCGTTTTGTTGTCTTACGTGCAGAGGTTTTTCTCTCCAGTTTTGTATCTTTTCGTTGTTCGTCTTATGGTGAACCCGCATCTGTTTCTCTTATAGTTTTTTTTTGTAAAGAGGTACGAAAAAAATCTTCAAAAGACACCGTCATCGTAAACTCTGCCGCCCATCTTGCGGCAGATATCGATAAGCGGTAGTGTGGAGATTTTTACCCACTAAAAAAAACATTCCTCTTCCTGTCTCCCCGCAGATGGTACGGGGAGGACTGGATTGGAACCGCGTTAGCATTACATCAATCCAGTCTGTGCTGCGCCCCATGGCGCCTACTCCTGGCTACTGGTCCCTTTCTGAAATTTTATCTTTCAGAAGGCGCTGTGCGTAGGTTGCAATAGCCGACCAGTTTCCCTCCTGTTCGATCATAGACGTCACCAGACTTGAGGGGGAGAGCCTGGCGCCTATGATCTCTTCGGTGCTACTTCTATAGTCCTTCCACCGAGCACACTCAAAGAACGTATGTTCGGCGTCGTCAATTTTATCAGGACAGTACTTACACATAAGGGTAAGCCCATCTTAAAAAGATAAGCGTTAACTGTCCATGCCCCGTCAGTAGCTGGGTCAGATAGAAGTCTATGTCCCCGTGTTTCCGAGAAAGCCAGACATTGATGTTCGGAATCAGACGCTCCGTCCATCTACTCGTCTTCCCCGTCGTCCATCGGTCCTGCCACTCTTGCTGGGTTTCCGCTTTTATCCTTGTTTTTGCCTCCTTGAAGTTGTCGCATTTCCTTTTAGCGCCATAGAGCTTGGCTCTCTCAAACGCTAATAGGTCGATAAGCGTTGCGCCCGCAATGACCAGTATTGCCGCTTCCGAGACGGTGCGGTATGCACAGGCAACCCTAACAGCGCCTCTCCGTTGCACTGCTGCTATTTTGCGCCTGTATGTTTTCTGCTTTAGGATGTCCGCCCATATCTCTGCTCCGTAGAGCAGTACTGAGTGAACTACTTCGAAGAGTACTCGTCTTTTTTTGGTTCGAAGTCCCATCGTGTTGGCCATGATCCTTGATAAGCTGGATACCGTCTTGCTAGCTCTCTGGCATGCACTATCAAGGTGTTCACGGTAAGATAGTTTTTCGTCTATCATTACCCCTAGGTAGCGTAAAGCAATCCTTGGGGTCGCTAACGTAATGTCAAGGATGGATTCTTGGTACCCTGGTCTCCGGAATGTCGTGGTATTTCCAGTATTCAGTACAATGAGGTTGAGTCTTGATGCGGCATCAGCGACTTCATTGCCTCTGGTTTCAGAGAACGCTGCGCCCCATTCTGCCTATTTGGCGTTGAAATCACCAGCTACAATGACTCCGCCGTTGAACTTGCCGATAGCGTCCTCTATGGTCGCCAGTTTCTGACGGAACACACTCATTCCCTCGTTTGGCGAGAGGTAGACGCTCATGAAGTAGGCTGTAGGGGTTTGAATCCAGACAAAGCCTGCTCCACTTCCGCTGTTGATTGCGGTAATGTTCTTTGTATTTGCGATCCATAGTGCTGCTGTCCCAGTTTCATCTGCGAACCATAACCCGCCCTGGAAGTTTGAATGTTGTTCGGAGATGATGCAGATGTCGACTTTACCTTCAAAGAACCTTTGGCCAAGGAGGTGTTGTGCTAGTATGCACCTATTCAGATTACCTTGAAGGACTCTGATCCGCTTCAGCTAGGGCGGCGCGGAACGCTTTACAAGCTCCGGAGTCAGGAATATGACACAGGCTGTCCTTAGCGTCATTCGGACATAGAAAGCACTTCGGTTGCTCGATGCAGTCGGCTGCCTTGTGACTTTCTCCTGCGTATTTGAAGCAGCACTTGCTGCGGTCTGGCCCCTTGCAGGAGTGTATCGCGTGCCCATACCCGAGACATCTGGCACAGCGTACCACTTTCGCTACCGGCCGTACGCGGCAGCTAACCCTCCCAACCTTTATGCGAGCTTTATTGAGGGCCTTGACCGCATTGGTCTCGTCAATCTCGCAAAAAGCCGCTCTTTGACCTCGTTGGGTAACGTTAGTTAGGTTGACTCGCTTGATTTCAAGGTTTGCCGTGAAGTCTCGCCCAAGTCAGATTCAGTGGAGACTCCGCCCAGGTCTAGAATCTCTATCGTAGCCGTAGGTATCAGCGTTCTGACGGTACCGATATTGGCGGCTGCTGTCTTAATAGCGGCCGTGAACGCGGTGCTGTCTTCAGTTTTGCGGGTCATTTCTAGCAGAACGCCCCCGCGCCTCGTTTGTTTTATGGACTTTATGTCCACTCCAGTTTCTGTCGGGTTGACCTTGGCTTTGATCTCCTTAAGAAGATCAGCGTACGTTCGACCCTCGCTTGGTTGCACAAGAATGGCCTTTGTTGTTGGTTTTCGACGATCCACCTTACGATGACTGATTGCCCGCGGAACGTCGTTCGCATATGGTTTTTGAGCCACCTTCAATACTACTGCCGAGTCCTGTTGCACTTTTTTCTTTTTCCTCCTCCGAGTCACCTCGGTCCAGGTATCCTTAGCCTGCTTTTCGGACGTACGTAAATCTTGGCCGGAAGTGGGGCTAGGTGTAGATATCGACCTTTTTTGGGGGTTCGACTCCTGGGGCTTAGCATTTGGTGTCTACGGTAGACCCGCTTGAACAGTAGTCCCGGAAGATGTTTGCGTTATTTTAACGGTCGTGTTCTGAGTCCTTCCCGCGGATGCCGTAAAATCTCTCAGTGCCAGGTTGTACTCGGTGTCAATTGACCTGGCTAGCTTTTTAATTTCACTTTTTAATTTCACCGTGAACATTGTTCTTGTCTTTAATGTACTCAAGCAGCTCACCCATTTTTGAGCCGAGTCTCTCTATCGGGGTTTGGCGACCGCTATTGGAATGTGTCGAGTACACTTGTTCCCGGTGGAACGAGTTGTAGGCATTCTTACCTCCAGTACCTGTTATGGTGCTGTTTGCACTCTGTTCAACGTCCATTTGGACGTCTTTTCCCATCTCTTCGTTGTTGTCATTGTTTTTAATTAAAGTTTCCATTAATTTATATAATACTCCGGAACAAAAGGCCGTCTCCGAACGCGGTGCCTCAGGAAGTGGAGGGGTGATGACTCTCACAGCTACCGCCATGACTGAGAGAGCTTGTGGCGATTGGAGCAGGGAAAGGCATCTGCTCCAGCCGTGCACCTTCTTCCATCACTGACCTCCTTGTGCTCCCTAGGACGCGGCACGTAAATGCCGGGAGTTACCACGTAGGCTGCGCTATACGGATCATACCGCACATCTCTTTCGAGCGCGTCACCGTATCCGCTTGTATGCGTGACCCTGGTCTTCGATGTTTGGCCCACCCAACACTGTTGAAGTGGATTTTTTGTCTTTTACTGTGGGAGCTATTTTATTTCGCTCCTACCCTCCGTTAAAAAGAACAGCGAGCTTTCTCCGACGGATACACGGGTGGTGGCTGTTGCTCTTCAGCTCTGGTGTTGTTCATTTGGCACTACCCGAAGAGCACGTGTAGGGTGTAAAAAGTAAAACCTATGGACGCGAACAACTCTACTCTCCTCTTATAGTGGTATTAGAGTAGAGTTATCTATTTGGCATATAGCTCTATGGAGTTCTGAATCCCTAGATGTCCTGCAGACGTAGCTTCGAAGACTTGCAAGATTTGTTTTCTAATCCTCTACCACCCTCGTGACATAAGAGCGTCGTTCTTTCGGTTGCACTACTAGGATGGTGGTTGCTAAATTTAGTTAAAAGTGTTCGCACTTTATATTATTATGATTGTTTTAATATAACAGTGTTAGGGTATTCAATATTTGCAACCAATTATTGTATTGATGTATTTTGTTCCCTTGCGAAGAAACGAATTAACTTTCTTTAAGATTTAACAGTTTTAATTGCGTAGCGTAAATTTAAACTTTCATTTTTGTTTTCCGGCGCGCATGTACCATTTAAAGCTTTGACGGAATTTTTTAACACACCGAAATTCAGCTTCGGTATATGCGAGAAGTCTCTCAATTTAAAACAAATTGCAGACGATCCGGAACTTTATAAAACCCATTTTATGATTTCATGAATATTAAAACGGGATGTCGGAGAAGACGAGACGTATTACGGTGTCGGAATTTGCTTGTGGGCGGACAAGTTGCCTACTCTAATGCAAAATTTTAGATGGGGAATAAGGTGTCTAAAGAAACAGATTTGAAAAATTCAGCTAATTTTGGTTAGTTTTGAGAAACCATTTCAAACAAATTCTGCACCCAGCAGACAGAAACGTATGGCAAAATAAACATTTCTCGTTTTGCTAGTTTCGGGAACTAAATTTTGTTTTTATGTTTTTCTTGACCTTTTACTGCCATGTGTGTGTTCAACAGTAAATATTCAAACTATCATTTCAAAACATAGCATCGTACATCGACACTTTGAGATTCAAGGTGTCTCTTTTTGTTTATGAAAATAAATCATAAATTTATTCAAAAATAATTATTTATTTCTATATCTTGATTTTATTTATGTCTGAGTCTATGAAGTGCAATCATTTGACTAGATACAGTTATTGATACCTTGAAAAAAGATAAACTCCTCCATGCTGTAAAAGGATTGCTTTATAAGTTTTTGAACCTGTTTATTGGAGTAGTTTTGTCTCGAGCTTAAGTTTATTAAAAAAATGGTTCAGTAGTAATTTGAACCTATCCTACTCGCATTAAGGCGAAAGAAATCATTCCCGAGGTTGTCCCTATTGAGTGTTTTGTAGCGGTGAACTTCATTCACATGTAAAAAATCTGTTTGATTCACGTCAGCGTAAACTATACACTTCAATATATAAACGCTTGGCAGTGTAAGGATTTTAAACTGCGAAAATGTAGATCTCACAGTTTATCAGACCACAAAGCAAGTGGGAACCAATTTAGGCTAAGCATTAGGAAAATGTTTTTTTAGATTTTTTTAGGCACTTGATCTGTGTGGCGCCACTAATTATTTACTTCGTTGACGTGCCTTTGAGAAAATATTAAGCAAATTGTTTTCCCTTAGCTAAAGGTCAAGCTATTTTTTGTTAACCAGTCCTTAGCTCATCAGTGCCTTGTGCCAAGTGCCTTGCATAACCCTGTTTCTCGCTGGTAAAATTTTCATGGATATGCCAAAGTGATCTTGTCCATTTTTACTTTTTAATTTGTCCAAAACGTCCCTTACTTGATTGAAGGTTATTTGATTTAATAAATTTTGATCATTGTTGGTTCCGGGAAACATGTTTTTTACATTGTCAGCAATACATGTAAAAAATCCATTAAATTTGTTTGCCTGAATTTCGTTTGTGATTACCTCATCTTTTTTAGATCGTCGATTTTTATTGATTATATTCCAGTGGGTCTTTAGTTATGTTTTTATTGAAACTTGCCTGATCTTTATAGAGGGTCGATTTTTATTGATTATATTCCAGTAGGTTTTCAATTATTTTCTTGTTGAGACTTCACCTCGTAGTATGTAAAAATTCTCAAGATAATCGGAACAAAAACAATGGAAGACGCCACAACTAATTTAAACAAGTCTACGCCCCATCGTCCAAAATTGCGAACGGTATCTTGGAAACTATCGGTTTTCCGACAAAGTAATTTCACAAAAATGAGACGAGAAATTTCCAAAATGGAGATTAGATGATTGGTTTTAGAACAGTTCGTTTTAATATCCGATTATGAATGCGAAAACTAATTTGATAGAAGACATCGAATTCGATAACTACGTGGTCTGACGTGACCTTCAAACGAAGGCGTAGCTTTATCAGTTTCTCGGCAAAGTGCCGCTGGTGGAGCCGTCGTAAATTTTCGAATGGAAATATATTTTGATGGTTGATTAAATTATCCCGTTCCTTCTCCAGAAAGTTCGATCAAGCAAAGCGAGCGGAATCTGATAACGACAGGTAAGATACGGTTTAACATGGGGGCTCCTCCAGGACCACAAAAGAGAATTCGCGAAGTTGATAATCTGGCTAATTAAGAGCTATTAATCATGGTGACCCGTCGCCCGTGGGGCTTAGGTCATGATCGTGAAGAAGGTGAAACTCGGTTTATTTTAGTCTCATGTTACACCGAGATAAAGTTTAACGTGAACAAGTTTGTTGGCTAATTTACCGTCGGAAGTT